CCTCTTCGCGTATCAAAACAGCGCTAATAGCAGAATCACTGACTCCGAGGTATAAGAACAGCATTTCCTCGGGTCTCGGCTTTTGCAAAGTCGGGGGAGAGACTAGTGTCTACTTGATGTTAACGAGAGCTTTCTGGCATTCCTCGGTCCATTCAAAACGTTTTCCCTTCTTGATTGCTTCGAAAAAGGGTCTGCAACGATCTGTAGACTTGGAAATGAACCGGTTGAGTGCAGCAAGTCGGCCAGTTAGGGCCTGAACACCTTTGACCGAGGTCGGGGGAGTTAGATCTTGAATAGCCTTTATTTTGGCCGGATTGGCTTCAATTCCTCGCTGGCTAACCATATAGCCCAAAAACTTTCCAGATTCAACTCCAAAAGTACATTTCTTAGGATTTAGGACCATGGAGTAAGATCGGAGGATGGCAAACATGTCTTGAAGATGCTTGATATGATCAGGGGCGTGCACCGACTTGACGAGCATGTCGTCCACATAAACTTCCATAGTATGACCGATCAGTGTAGCGAACATTTTGTTGACAAGGCGTTGATATGTGGCTCCGGCGTTCTTTAATCCGAACGGCATCATAGTATAACAGTACAAGCCTCGGGCCGAATAGAACGAAGTGTATTCAGAGTCCTCAGGATCCATAGGGATCTGACTGTAGCCAGAGTAAGCGTCCATGAAACTCATTAACTCATGTCCCGACGTGGCATCAACCATGTAATCTATGTGGGGAAGTGGATAACTGTCCTTTGGGCATGCTTTGTTGAGGTCGGAAAAATCAATGCACAGTCTCCACAGTCCATTGCTCTTTTTAACAAGAACAGGATTTGAGACCCACGTCGGGTATTTGGCTTCCTTGATGAACTTGTTGTCAATGAGTTTTTTGACTTCTTCTTCCAATGCCTTCTGACGATCCGGCCCCAGTTTCCTCCTCTTTTTCACAACAGGCCGGATTGTTCGATCGAGGTTTAGTTTATGGCTAGCGACACCGGGGTCGATGCCCTTCATATCCTCGTGCTTCCAGGCAAAAACATCAGAATTCTGTTTGAGAAACGAGATAAGTTCTGACCGAAGTGGTTCTTGAAGATGACTTCCGATGCGCAATGACTTGTGGAAGACTGGTTCATCGATATAGACCAATTCCACGTCTTCTCTAGGTTCGGCTCGATCAGCTCGACTTTTTTCTTTAAACAATGCTCTGGGGTCCAACACGTCTTCTTCAAGAAGTGGCTCTTTTCCAGGTCGGCGACCTCGGTCTTCGGTTAAAGGATCCGAGGTGGAAGGATCGCCGACGTGGTTGTTCGGTTCTTCGGATACCGTGTCATCTGAAGCGTGTTGCTGTGGGGCGGCTTCATTATTACCCATTGAAGTTGAATGAACTCCATTGGATGGGATAAAAGTAACAAGTTCGCGAGCTTCTCTTTGATCTCCGAAGTGGGTTCCCTCTCCTCGGGTTGTCGGGAATTTTAAGGCGTAGTGAAAGATAGAGACTGCAGCTCGAAGTTTATAGAATGCCGTTCTGCCAATGATGGCGTTGTACTCATTATTGATATCCATAACCTTGAAAGTTTCCATGACGAGTTTGGTGGCATTCTCCGAAGTGCCAAATCGGACAGGTAAAGTGATTTCGCCGATGGGCTTCGAAATGCTCCCGTTAAACCCTTGTATTTGATCATTGCAGGGTCGAATCTCGGCGGGATCAAGGCCCATTTTATCAAAAGCTCTTAACATCAAAATACTCGAATAGGCCCCACTGTCCACCATGACACGATGAACCGGAATCCCGCATATAGGGACGGTGATAACAAGTGCGTCGGAATGAGGATGGGCGAAATGATTAGCATCCTCCATATTAAAGGTTATGGGGCAATTCCGATTGTTGAGAATATCTCTCAAATCGGTAGTGTAAACCTGTTTGCCGGAGTTGTGCGCTCGTCGGGCATATGCCTTGACCTGTCGACGGGACAATGTACTCCGGGGGTTATTGGTATTGACCCGGTGGACGGTGATTCGTATTGGTTCAGGAGACCTATCTCGTTTACGTCCTCGGGAAGTTCCAGCAGAGTTAGAATCGGACATCTCCGAGGTGAACATGAATACTTCCTTATCTCCTTGTCGGATGCGTTTTGGCATAGCACCTCGGTCTTCCTCATCATCTTCATCATCAAAGGGTTCGATCTGGCGTCCAGGACCTTGCCTCTGAGGATCAGTATTACGATAAAATTTTGTAAGTTGCGGATGGCCAATCAAACGCAACAATGCGGCTAACAAACTCAAACACTCGTCTGTGTTGTGCCCTGGCGACTTATGGTAATCACAATATCGGGATTTGTCTAGTTTTTCTTCGGGCATTCGAAGTGGCTTGGGATCTGGCAAAATGCCCTTCCCTTTATTTCTTCATAAATAGTGGCTGCTCCCGCCGAATATACAGTTTGATACCCGGACTTCACGTCGGTTGCGTACTGTTTTTGGGCCGCTCGGACTTCAGGATCATTGGGGTCTCCTCGGGGAGGCCCCCTGAATTGAGTCTTATTTTGCTTGTCGAAAAATTTATTCTTCCTTTTTTTGTCGGTTCCCGCTTTAGAAGACTTCAGGTTAAAGTTAAAATCGGGAACCGACATGGCTTCTTCCGCTATGATGTGCTGCTGGGCTCGAGCGAGAAATTCTTGAAAAGTGTTCGGTTTATTTTGGCATAATGTCCAGCGGAAAATCGAATTTGGTTTCAATCCAGCAATAGCCATGACAAGCAAGGTTTCAGGATGACAAGGTTCCATATTCTAAACTCGGTCATTGAAACGGGCAATATAATCCTTGACACTCTCATCATCTTTTTGAGTGATATTCGCAAGAGACTCTTTTGGGATAAGGCATACTTGAGCCCCGATAAAGTGAGATCGGAAAGCCGACCTCAGTTGTTGCCACTTCCAAATTAAATGAGGAGGAAGAGAATGGTACCATTTTTGGGCCCGAGGCCCCAGTGTAAGTGAAAACATACGACACCGAAGTGCGTCTGAGGCCCCATGCAGATCCATCCATGAAGTATAATGACCGAGGTGTGAGTCAGGGTCAGATGTTCCATCATATAGCCCGATCTGGGGGACCTTAACTTTTCCAGGAACTGGTTCCGAAGTGAGCTCCGGAGTAAGGGGAGAATCGGCTTCCAAATACACTTGCGCCGAGGTGGAGGCCCGCCGAGGTGGATCTTCAGGTGCCCGTTGCCGACTTTCCAACTCGGCTATTCTTCGTCGCAGTGTTTCAAGTTCGGATGACTCTTGACGAGCCCAATTTCGTTCAATATGCTGTCGAAGGTCGGTCTGCGCTGGATTGGAGGGATTTCGGCACTGTGCGAGAGGCGGTGATCGTCGTGAATGACCCGACTGGCTTTCGGCGGTTTCTTCTTTAGGAAGTACAGGAGGATTGCGTCCGGCGTCAGTGCGACGCGTATTTTGTTCCGGAGGCGGTTGTGACATTCGATCACGAGGTTGAGATGTAGCGTGAGATGTTGTCCTTCCGCCATCTTGCCGCGCTGGTGGATTCTGCCGGTTTGCGGGAGTCGTGGGAATGATGGAGTGTCCCGGAGCAGTCGTTGATGTTCCCGGCATCGTTTGGGCCATTAAAGCGGCAAAACCACGCGCGAACTCCAGATTTTGAAACAGAACAGCATAATCCGGTATATGTGGGGCCACGGCTTGTCGTCTGGCAGATTGCGCGGCGCTACGACTGTGGCCATCTCGTGAAGTGTGACCACGAGGATCTGAGTGAGACATGGTGGATATGGCTGGTGTGAATCGTCACTTGGAAAAGTGGAGATTGACCTCAAATCACTTATGAGGCCCTCCTTCTAGCGCCAAACTGTTGTTATGTGATTTCTAACAACGATGTAACACGTGATTAAGATGAGAATTATGAATGATTTGGACGTAAAGCATGTAGAAATAACTCAACAATGGCCCCGGTCCGAGGTGAACCGAGGTGAAGAGCCGTGATGGGCTTTTGCGTGTTGCATAATGATGTTTTTTCAGTTCGGAGAGAGAGATCCCTTTACAAATGTCATGGGTTCACTATTTATAGTAATTTTTGGTGGATACATTGGGATCTGTGTACTACTTTTCGGATAAAGTAGCTTTTTGTGGGCGGTTTGGAGCAGTGGGTCCCACATGAATGATGACGGATCTCGTAGAGCGTGATGGTTGTGCGTAGGCACCTTGTCACCTGCTTAAGGAGGTGACGATCTCTGTTTAAGTAGACCTCGGTAGGTGCTGACCACTTCGGTCTTCGGTAGTTCGGTCCGGTTCATCGCCTGGACCAGTGTGGTGTTAAAATCACGTCGGTTCAATGGTCATCTTTCTCTTAATATGATGTTTGGAACCTCTTAATGGTGTTTTACCGAATCGGATGATAACAATATATATATATATATATATGTATATGTACACACACATATATCTTTGTGTTTGTGCATGTTACATTGTAAAAACTTAAAACTTTTGCTGGGGACAATGTCGTTTCCTTTAGTCTATAGACATCAAGAAAAAATTGTGTGATATAAAAAAAAAAAGCCTAATTGCCGGTAATATCACGACCTTACATTTTTTTTTTTCCGTTTTAACCAAACTTTTGGAATTTAGTAAACATAACATAACCTTGTCATGTTTTGGCAATTCGAATCGCAAGGCTTAATTTCGGGTTTTGTCTGCTGACATGGTTGATGACATAGCGATTTATGCTGATGTGGCAGATGACATGACGATAAAGCCTAATTTTATGGTTGTCTAGTGACGTGGCGCTGCTGACATGGCAATTTCAACTGACATGGAGTAAGAAATATAAGTGACGCTGGGGTTCGAACTTGTGACCTCAGAGTTGTATGATAGCATTGCAACCACCACACAAACCCAAGTTGTATGTTAAAGTTAATAGCGTTTAATATATAGACACAATGTATGAATAAATCAAATTAAATTTAAATGATAATGCAAATTATATTAGAGTGAATTTAAATTAAATTTAAATAAATTTATATATTTCTTATTTATTAAAAAAATAAATTATATAAATTTATAAATTAAAAATAATAATGATAAAATATAATAAAAAAATACACTAGATTAAAGTACACCGGTTAAAATAAAATAAAAATAATATAATATAAGATATTGAAGTATAAAAAATAGCAAAGTAAAATAAAGAAAATAATATAATAAATCATATAAAAATAGTAAGTTCAAATAAATAGAAATCTTAAATGAATATAATAAAATAAAAAATATTATTTGAATATAGTAATTTAATAAGCTAAGGCTCTTCTTCCCCGAAAGAAACCCTTCCCCCAATATTCCAATCTGCCGTCTCCTTCAATTTCCCGATTCTCAGCCTTCCTCGGCGGCGAATTAAGCTCGATCAGGGGTCGTCGAAGACCGATCGTCCTGCCTATTGACGATATGCGCCTCTGAGGTTGCAAGTATGGGTCCGCGATTGATAACGGAGCTTGAGGTCGCGGCCGAGATCCGGTGGGTGGTGGCGTCTTTTCGCTTTTGCGGAGGTAAGCTCTATCTATCTACTTTCTCTCTTCAGCGGTTCTTGGGTTGCTGTGCCGGCGGGGTTCCGCTTCTGGGTGGGATCCGGTTTGGGGTCGCGGGTCTTTCTTGGCGGTGGCGGGCGGAGCAGAAGTCTTTGGGAGGGACGGGTGCCAGGTTGTTGCAACCTCATATTGCAGTGGTCGGGATTGAGGGACCGATTTAGCCTCTTACTCACCGACGAGTGGTGATTTGGAGTCTAGTAAAAGATGTCCCACATTGGTTGTTGAGGAGAACGAAACATGCCATATAAGTGGTTGTGGACACCTCAACCTACAGGACGCGTTTTTGGTGAGCTAGCTCCCAAAGGCAAAACCGTGAGGGAATGATCTGGTGTATACCCAAAGTGGACAATATTCTGTAGCGGGTGAGCTGGGCTGTTACAGTGGTATCAGAGCCAGTACCCGGACTGGTGTGCCAGCAGGGACGCTGGGCCCTCCAAGGGGGGGTGGAGTCTAGTAAAAGATGTCCCACATCGGTTGTTGAGGAGAACGAAACATGCCATATAAGTGGCTGTGGACACCTCAACCTACAGGACGCGTTTTGGTGAGCTAGCTCCCAAAGGCAAAACCGTGAGGGCATGATCTGGTGTATACCCAAAGCGGACAATATTATGTAGCGGGTGAGCTGGGCTGTTACAGTGGTGGCGGTGGGGATCTGGGTCCGATTGAGTTCGGCTAGTGGTGTTAGACGAATGTGGTAGGGCTTGTTGGGGCTGAATGGGGCTCTCTCGGTTCGAGACAGGTCGATTCGGGGATTGGTTCGTGGCTCCGGTTCTCCTATTGTGTAGGCGTTTGTGCAGTTTCAGTAGTGGATTCTTTAGCTGGAATCTTTCTTGTGTCGATTGTTCACCGCTGGTTGGGGTTGTTCATCTGCTGGGGAAGGGCCTCTTTTGCTTTGTTTTGTATTGTTTGTGTTGTTTTGTGTTAGTATTTGTGTTTTAGGTCTGGGCCGTTGGCCTCTGTGAGCCCGAGTGTCAAACTTATTATCCTGTTGGGATCCGACACTCGGGTATTACTCCGGTTGGAGTCTTTTTAGTTGTCTTAGTTGTTTGTGTTGTGTGTTAGTTTAGTTGCGAGTATTTTTTATTCTTGCATTGCTAGCGGGATTCTAGGCGGTCTTCTGACCTGTCCTCCCACTTTATTCTCCCGTTGGGAGCTTTGTATCTTTTGTCGCACTTTGTGCGCTTTTGATTTATAATAGTTCCTCTGTCGTTCCGGAAAAAAAAACTAATAAATTATTTATAGTATTTTTTAATATAATAATTTATTAAATTATTATATTAAAATAATATTTATTTATTTTATTATATTCATTTTTAAAATATAATAAGTTAATAAATTATTTTTATTATTTTTAATAAATTATTAATTAAATAAAATAATAAACTTTATTTGAATATAATAATTTAATAAATTAATTATATTATTTTTTAATATAATATTTTGAAAAATTAATAATTATAATAATCTCAAATAATATTTTTAATATAAAATTTTTTAAATTATTATATTCAGAAAATTAGTTAATTTATTATATTCATATAAGATTTCTATTTATTTTAATATATTATTTTAATTTATTTATATTTTATTTTTTTTAATTTTACTTTCCATTTTTATACTTTATTATCTAAAATTATTGTTGTCGGTATTTTTACCGGAGTAGAATCGAAAGATTCGTTCCCCGGGTCGTATCGCAAGGAAGATTAGCCGGATTCAATTGTAAGATTATTTGATCACGAAAAAAAGAAAATCCTGAACACTCTATTCAATAATTTTTGGGTTTCAATTATCAACTAAGAATTTAAAGCTAATGAAAAGCAATTTAAATAGAAGAATAAATTCACTCAGTGATTAAAGAGCTAGAGAATCGGGGATAATTGCTTTCGGTTCTAACACAATTACCGGGCAATCAATTGCTCAGTTAAAGGAATTGAATTGTTTCTCGTTCATAGATTCACTCTCAATAACTCTTCGTAACAAGAGAGTGAATGTAAACGATCAACTATCAGTTCCAACAACTCATAGACAATACTTTTACGAATAAGTCTATCCTAAACGAGCCTAAATCGACCAACGTCTCCCCTCTCGGTACTACATGTTGATTAATTAGGTTAGACAGGTGATCAATCTACTAACCCTAGAATAAGCACAACTCAAATAGGCATGAACATTCAAAAACAAGCAATTATTATCGAACCTAATCAATCATCCCCTATCCCTAGCGTAAGGATTTAGCTACTCATGGAGAATTCAATATCACAATTCATATTAACCCAAACCATCATCATCAACACACAACTGAGAAAAGAGGAACTTATGATTAATGTAAATAATCCAATGTTGAATCCACAAGCATCTAATCCAAAGCAAGAAAAGGGAGTTTTTCAATCTCCAATTCGAATCAAAAGAGCAAAAGTATGAAAAATGAATGAATTTCTAGAGAGAAAAAGCATAAAAACGAAGTCTGGAAGTGAATAATCATCCCTAGGTCCTAATTCTGATGTAAGAATCTGCGCCTCGAAATTCGCGCCAGCCGTCTCGCGAGTCGTGACTTCATGTTTCTCCAGGTCGCAAGTCGCGACATCTTGCGAGTCGCGCGTTGTAAAAAAATATTTAACATCTGGGGAAAATCGCGACCTTACTCGCGAGTCGCAACATTGACTAGCGAGTCGTGACTCGTCTCGCGAGTGCTACTTTTCGTCCCTGTTGATCTCTCGAGTCGCGAGCATCTTGCGAGTCACGACCATCTCGCGAGTCGCGAGAAACTCTGGGCAGTCTTCAGTTCATTTTTTTTCCGATCCTTCCTTCAGCTTTCTGAGCTCCACAACGGGTATTCTTGTATCACGGTCTCGGCTCCAATAGTTTCATCCTCGACCAGCACAACCTACCTCCTGAAAACACAAACACGGAGAAAACACGAAGCATAACACAAGCGT